GTCAGCTTGAGTCCTGTCTGTTGGATGCTGCTGCTGTGACTGTAATATCCAATGATGTTCGCCAGTTTGTGTACTCTGCTTTAATTATACCTAAAAATCAATCTGAGATTCGTCTGGTATAATACTTGGTGATGCATCATTTACTTCATCAGCATCGCAAGCTCAAATTTTTAGGGAGGTAATAAACTTTGAAGCAATTCCATAGTAAGTTTCCTTCCCCTTCCCCTATTACGAGCAGTCCAGGCGTTAGAAAACTGTTTCAATGTCTGATTTATGATAGACGTAGTATTGAAAGGTTGAATATTTATGCATTTGATACTAACAATATATCAGAAGCTTCAAAGCAGTATTACAGTTTTTTAGTAAGATTTATTTCAATCATATTGCAAACGACTTCAAGCTTTTATCAGCGCCTTTTGCTCAATAATCCTTCGGTTTCCTACGCGACGCTAATTTAAAAGCTGACAGACATTTTTACATGTCTGCCTTTTTGAAGAAATCATAGATGTAAGAAGCGATTATAGAGGTGATGAACTTAGCATCCAGATTGCCTATTGAACTGTTGATGTTAACTGTTAAAGTTATTTGTCGTTCTTAACGAATAGACTCTTATTTTGACAACTAAGAATCGAAGCACATTAATAAAACACGAACAACAAGAGCTAGAGATTGTTTATCCATGAGAGGTGCATAGTCAATGGTCACTGCTAAAAGTTAGCAAGAATACTTTGTTTAAAGGAAGAGATGTTATTTCGAACATCATGGACCGATTATAATATGATCAATCTGGGTTGGCGAATCATGTATGAAAACATGCAGTAAAATACGCTCTTTCGAATGGTGAAAGTCGCAACTCTCTAACTTTTTTCTATCAAAAGTTATCGGTAATTCAAGACTATCGAGTAACTTGTACACCACCTTGTATATGTACTAGTTTTATAAATAACAGCATCATTTAATTACGAAAGTGAAAGATGCCAATAAAAAGTTGATAAAGCAAAGACAAATCGATTAATCTTTCTATTTAAAGCGAAAGGCTTTTAGAATTTATGTTGAGTTATGTATCTTTACTCTGCTTTGCCAAAGAAGCATGCACAACTTGAGGAAGCAACGAATCTTTATTGCTTCTCCTTGTAGTGCTAATGTGCTGCCCATCTTTCCATGAGTGAATAAAGCAATTGCCATATTTTATTAAACTTGATACAGTCTTGTTCTATGCATTTTAGATATTTAAGAGATACTCTAACCTACTTTGTCATAATTCAAAGTATTTCATAGGCACTTTCATTTAATTTCAAGTACTTTGAACTAATTTTGCACTGTGATGTACTTTATCTACTTGAAGCTCACTGTTTTCTACATGGTTTCTTAGCACAATGGCTGTGTGTCTGTTACTACATACGATTTATAAAAATTCGATATTCGCGATCTTTTGATAAAAACACTCCTCGAATTGTCTCACTGTCTTGTATAAAGCCTCAAAGAACATCTGTTTTTTTTTCAGTTTTGGAGGTAAGTACTGGGTTGTATTCATATACTAAATCTTGATATCGATAAAATAGTGTAGATTCGTAGCGGACGAATTTTGAAAATATCAATTTCAAAAGATTATAATTGATACATAAATAATGTTTCAACTCACATTTTTGATAGGCAATGAAGAAGTGATTTGATATTTTGTATTTCACTATGAATACACACGAACTTTTCGAAAACTTGAATCCAGAATCAAAAAGATTGTCTAGGTTGTATAGGCAGTTAGCTTATCATAGAACATACCTTTACATGTGAGTGTTGTATAAAACTCCAGCCGCTTCTTTCTCTTTATATGCAAAAAAAAATTTAAGATTGATTTTAGATTCCACTATGGAAATTTTACGCTTTTATGAATAACCTAACTTGCAGTATTAGTTTTGTACGATACTTTAAAAGTTCTTCTTCTCTTTCAATTAGTCGAAGGGAATAATAATCCTTGCTCTACAGTCATTACTCATCTCAATTATTTGATCTCCATCTTTGCTATCACTGTTCACAACAGTCGAGTAGTTATGACATTTGTAAAGAATGCAAGCATCTGTCTCTTTTCTCCTACCTTTTAATTACAGCTAACAATTATTTACCTATAATGTTAATATAATCAAGATTAATTCCAGATCTAATGACACTACTCGATGAACTTTGCCATC